TGGGAATTCCTGTTGGGAATTCCTGCTGGGAATGGAGTGGGAGGGGTGGGAATGGTCAACATCCCGCAGGTGAGCGGCGTTCCTGGGAATTCCTGCCGGGAATTCCTGCTGGGAATGGCGTGGGAGGGGTGGGAATGGTCAGCATCCCACAGGTGAGCGGCGTTCCCGGGAATTCCTGCCGGGAATTCCTGCTGGGAACGGTGTGGGAGGGGTGGGAATGGTCAGCATCCCGCAGGTGAGGAGCATTCCTGGGAATTCCTGCTGGGAACGGTGTGGGAGGGGTGGGAATGGTCAACATCCCGCAGGTGAGCGGCGTTCCTGGGAATTCCCATCAGGAACGGTGTGGGAGGGGTGGGAATGGTCAGCATCCCACAGGTGAGCGTTCCTGGGAATTCCTGCCAGGAATTCCTGCTGGGAATGGTGTGGGAGGGGTGGGAATGGTCAGCATCCCGCAGGTGAGGAGCATTCCGGGGAATTCCTGCTGGGAACGGTGTGGGAGGGGTGGGAATGGTCAACATCCCACAGGCAAGCGGCGTTCCTGGGAATTCCTGCTGGGAACGGTGTGGGAGGGGTGGGAATGGTCAACATCCCACAGGCGAGTGTTCCCGGGAATTCCTGCCGGGAATTCCTGCTGGGAACGGTGTGGGAGGGGTGGGAATGGTCAGCATCCCGCAGGTGAGGAGCATTCCCCAGAATTCCCACGGGAATTCCTGCTGGGAACGGTGTGGGAGGGGTGGGAATGGTCAGCATCCTGCAGGTGAGCGGTGTTCCTGGGAATTCCTGTCGGGAATTCCTGCTGGGAATGGCGTGGGAGGGGTGGGAATGGTCAGCATCCCGCAGGTGAGCGGCGTTCCTGGGAATTCCTGCCGGGAATTCCTGCTGGGAATGGCGTGGGAGGGGTGGGAATGGTCAGCATCCCGCAGGTGAGGAGCATTCCTGGGAATTCCCATCAGGAACGGCGTGGGAGGGGTGGGAATGGTCAGCATCCCGCAGGTGAGCGGCGTTCCTGGGAATTCCTGCTGGGAACGGTGTGGGAGGGGTGGGAATGGTCAGCATCCCGCAGGCGAGCAGCATTCCCGGGAATCCCCGCTGGGATTCCTGCCAGGAACGGTGTGGGAGGGGTGGGAGTGACCAACATCAACATCATGGAGGTGAACACTGAGCAATTCCCAGGAATTCCTGGGATTTTCCCATCAGGAGTGGGATGGGAAGGGTGGGAATGACCAACATCAACATCCTGCAGGTCCAGGTTGGCGTTTCCAGGAATGACTGGGAATTCTCACTGGGAATGGGCTGGGAGGGCTGAGAGTGTCAGGTTCCGTGATTCCTGGTGATCCCATGGATCCCATTCCCTGATTCCTGGTGATCCCCCATGGATCCCATTCCCTGATTCCCAATGACCCAACGAGGATCCCATTCCCTGATTCCCAGTGATGTATCCCATTCCCATCTCTCTCCAGGCGTCCCCCACGTCCCTGAAGGGCTCGGTGGTGCCCGCGGGCCCGGCTGGCACGGCCCCGGCGGGCGGCACCGGGGATTCCCCCCATTCCCAGTGATCCCATGGATCCCATTCCCTGATTCCCGGTGATCCCCCATGGATCCCATTCCCTGATTCCCAGTGATGTATCCCATTCCCATCTCTCTCCAGGCGTCCCCCACGTCCCTGAAGGGCTCGGCGGTGCCCGCGGGCCCGGCTGGCACGGCCCCGGCGGGCGGCGCGGGCGAGGCGCCGGGCAGCCGGCAGGCCGCGGCCAAGCTGGCGCTGCGCAAGCAGCTGGAGAAGACCCTGCTGGAGATCCCCCCGCCCAAGCCGCCCGCGCCCGAGATGAACTTCCTGCCCAGCGCCGCCAACAACGAGTTCATCTACCTGGTGGGGCTGGAGGAGGTGGTGCAGAACCTGCTCGAGAGCCAAGGTGAGCCCGGGCAGAGCCGGGTAAACCTGCCTGGGGTGGGTTAAACCTGGCTGGGGTGGGTTAAACCTGCCTGGGGTGGGTTAAACCTGGCTGTTGTGGGTTAAACCCGCCTGGGGTCGGTTAAATCCGCCTGGGGTCGGTTAAACCTGGCTGGGGTTGGTTAAACCTGGCTGGGGTTGGTTAAACCTGCCTGGGGTTGGTTAAACCTGCCTGGGGTCGGTTAAACCCGCCTGGGGTGGGTTAAACCTGGCTGGGGTTGGTTAAACCTGCCTGGGGTTGGTTAAACCTGCCTGGGGTCGGTTAAACGCGCCTGGGGTCGGTTAAACCCGCCTGGGGTCGGTTAAACCTGCCTGGGGTTGGTTAAACCTGATTGGGGTCAGTTAAACCTGCCTGGGGTCGGCTAAACCTGATTGGGGTCAGTTAAACCTGATTGGGATTGGTTAAACCCGCCTGGGGTCGGTTAAACCTGCCTGGGATTGGTTAAACCTGCTTGGGGTTGGTTAAACCTGCTTGGGGTTGGTTAAACCTGCTTGGGGTCGGTTAAACCTGATTGGGGTCAGTTAAACCTCCAGAAGTGCAGGGTTTAAGCGTGACTGGAATCGTTTAAACCTCCCCAAAACCATTTCAACCACACTGGGGCTGACCCACCATGTGTGTCCCCCAGGGAAGGTGACCCACCGTGTGTGTCCCCCAGGGAAGGTGACACACCATGTTTATCCCCCAGGGAAGGTGACACACCGTGTGTGTCCCCCAGGGAAGGTGACACACCATGTTTATCCCCCAGGGAAGGTGACACACCGTGTGTGTCCCCCAGGGAAGGTGACACACTGTGTGTGTCCCTCGGGGAAGGTGACACACCGTGTTTGTCCCTCAGGGAAGGTGACACACCATGTGTGTCCCCCAGGGAAGGTGACCCGCCCTGTTTGTCCCCCAGGGAAGGTGACCCGCCCTGTTTGTCCCCCAGGGAAGGTGACACACCATGTGTGTCCCCCAGGGAAGGTGACACTGGGGCTGACCCACCGTGTTTGTCCCCCAGGGAAGGTGACCCGCCGTCTTTGTCCCCCAGGGAAGGTGGCGGTGGCCGTGTCCTGCCGGGAGCCCTACCTGTGTGCCCAGTGCCACACGGACTTCACGTGCCGCTGGCGGGAGGAGAAGAACGGCACCATCATGTGCGAGACCTGCATGGCCTCCAACCAGAAGAAGGCCCTGAAGGCCGAGCACACGAACCGGCTCAAGGCCGCCTTCGTCAAGGCGCTGCAGCAGGAGCAGGAGATCGAGCAGAGGATCCTGCAGCAAGCGGCGCCGCCCGGGCAGCCCAAGGCCGAGCCCGTGGGGCAGCACCACGCGCTCAAGCAGGTGGGCACGCGCCGCTTCCATGGGGAATGTCCCAGGGGGAATGTCCCAGGGGGAATGTCCCAGGAATGCCACAGGGAATGTCCCAGGAATGCCACGGGGAATGTCCCAGGAATGCCACGGGGAATGTCCCAGGGCTGATGTGGGGAATGTCCCAGGGCTGATGTGGGGAATGTCCCAGGAATGCCATGGGGAATGTCCCAGGAATGCCAGGGGGAAGTGTCCCAGGAATGCCGTGGGGAATGTCCCAGGGGGAATGTCCCAGGGGGAATGTCCCAGGAATGCCACGGGGAATGTCCCAGGGCTGCTGTGGGGAATGTCCCAGGAATGCCAGGGGGAATGTCCCAGGAATGCCACAGGGAGTGTCCTAGGAATGCCACGGGGAATGTCCCAGGGCTGCTGTGGAGAATGTCCCAGGGCCTGCGGCTTTGGCCCTTGCGTTGGGATTGGGGTGGGTGGGCTGTAGGTGTTCTGCCAGGCTGTGGGGATTGTCCAGTCCCAGAGATCATCCAGGCCCAAAAATCATCCCATCCCAAAAATCATCCCATCCCAAAAATCATCCCATCCCAAAAATCATCCAGTCCTGGAGATCATCCAGTCCCAAAAAACATCCAATCTGAAGATCATCCAATCCCAAAGATGATCCAGGCCCAAAGATCTCCCAGTTCAGCCCCCAGAGACCCTCCATTCCCACCTTCCAGGCTGCTCCGAGCCCCCTCCAACCT